TTTTATTAAACTAATTTTGAGATAATGCTTCCCAAAACGTTGAACGCGAAACCATGGGCGTGAAAAGAATGCAATTATTTTTAGGTGAAAAGGGGWAAGTCAAGTTAGGGCGGAAGGTGTTGCACTTCTTATTTTCACTACTTGAAAAAATTGCTAAGTGTATACATTTAGCACTCGACATATTCATTGAAAAGCTCCAATAAAAACAGTACAGGGTGCAGGCTCACAAAGTCTTATGGCAACCCAATGTTTTACACTGCCATATAAATATTCTTGTTTGAATTTAATTAACTGTTTATATAACATAATACATAATATTTATAAACATACACAACATACGTATATGGAATAAATGARTGCTTGCATGTGTGTGTGATTTTGAGGAGGAGGGCCGAGAGGGGTATTATTAATATATGCGAAAATACYGACTTCAAAGATAAAAAAATGTATTGYTGTAGATAAAAATTATTTGTTATGATGTCCTACACCACACCCCACTCCCATCACCATCGTTCTAAAAGCCGGTGGCTGCAGGTGTTTATTTTGATTATAGGTTATATATAAACAGGTAGATTACGCAGAGCAAAAGTTCACCTGAAACCCTTTTCAGCCAAAATCCGGATCATCGGCCCAGACTTTTCAGTCGTGTAGATCTCACGGACCAAGGGTAAGTACTTTTCTGTAGTGGCCCCATCACCGGCACCCAAGTCGATTAGCGTCGAACCGCTGTCGAAAAATGTCATGTTCAGCAGTCGTCTGATCTGGTCGGCGGAAAACACGAACATCGATCCTCTCCGCAATAAACTGTAACATAATTAACAGTGAAAACAAAAAATCAAAAACACACAGTGTATAGTGTATATATGTATAGACACTCCGTAGATTGCTGTATAGCACAGAGATTCTCAAACTTTTGCATACCTAATATTCCCCCCCCTGTGAAAAATCTTAGATACTATATTGCACCAGTGGTAACCCTGCAGTTTGAGAACTCCTAGTATAGTAATCTATACCGTTGCAAGTTATAACCTATTCACATTATTATTTTTATATTTTAGTAATATTAACCACATTATTCCAGGGGCGTCAATTCACGTTTTTTTTCGGGTGTGCGAAGTTTCAAGCAGGCCATTTTGAAATTTCACCAGGCCATATAAAAATAGATACACATACGTATATGTA